TGCTGGCTCTTACGTAGGCAATACGCAATAATGTAGCGTGCGCTAAACACACCTGCTCGGACCGAATTTAGTTGTGCGTTACGTTTACGAGTGAACAACCCACATGACCTTGGTTTAATTCGCCTGAGCCGTAGAACTCCGCGCGCTTATAAACATGCTCCTCACAAAAAAAAAAGAAAAAAAAATTAAAATATTAACGTGGGAAATCATTTCATTTCAAATTAAACCAAGCCGCAGCTGCCTTGTCAAGCCAGCTTTTCTGCAGGGTACAGAGGCAACGAGTACGAGTGCGTAGCCAAATTCGATCACGGAGTTCCCGTTTATGTACAGCCTCCGGCAATATGAAAGACCCACTGGGAGCGCGTGGCCGAGGCGGTGGCTGGCGGGGGCGCTGCGAGCGCTCCGGGCAATTCCATTCTGCTTCGAGGGGAGGACGCTCACTCGGGGCTCAGCGCAATCTGATAAACGCGTTTCGCTTTAGCTGAGCCGGGAGTGAGCGTCCTCCCCTCGAAGCAGAATGGAATTGCCCGGAGCGCTCGCAGCGCCCCCGCCAGCCACCGCCTCGGCCACGCGCTCCCAGTGGGTCTTTCATATTGCCGGAGAGTGTACATGTTGTATTTTTTTTTTGCTTCACCACTTTTTTTTATAATGCTTCGGCCTTGTGAGTATATAAATGAAATGAAATTGTCCCGTGGAAACGGCACCTTTCATCAATGCTGTCGCGGAATGAAATCCATGACCTACTGATGTCCAGTGCATAGCGACCACTTCGGCGATTCCTTGAAGTTCGTCCGTCGGCGATGAACTGCGCGATTAGGTTTAGCGTTGAGCAGATCGCAGCGTTGACGCACATCGCGAGCGGTGAACATATTCGCTGTGCACTCCTTCAGCTGCACGGCGATCTGATTCGACCGCGGTAGGTCCCGGAATGAATTGCCGTGCTGGACACCACACAATTTCACGTAACCCTGTACTTCCTGAATACCCTGTCGCCCTTGCTGCGCCAGTCGAGGTAACTGCCATCTTGAAACTGCTGCTCTCGTTGGGCCCGAGATCTCTCGAGAACTTCCCTCAAAGCCCGCTAGCCCCCAACGCAAGATCCCCAGCATTGAGTGCGTACGCAATACGCTAGATCTTCTATTGCGTTCTGCGCATCGGCGCTCACGACCCGCAATTTCCTTGCGTACGCAAAGCTGTAGAGTACAGTCCAGTAAAACTCTGTAATATCACTGGCCGTGAACTGCCAGCGTGTTGCCATCGCTACGCGTTCGCGGCCTTTCCTTTAATTTAAAGAGCACCCGCCTTCTGACGCTGCGAACATGTTGCGCCTACACTCCATACCACCTAGAAGACAAGGCATGACGTTTCGTTAGTAGATCCCCGACCCGCCCCAAGCGGCAAACACCCCGAAGCTTAACGAGAGTATATATGGGCCGCTTCAGAACTACGGCTGCGTTCCAAATCTTACCCAAACGGATCCGAGTTACTCCGACGGCTCGTGTCACGTGGCAAGACAGATATTGAAAAACGCTGGACGCGGGTAGGCTTTAGAACGCCAAGGTATAAACACTTTATCCTGGAGTAAGATCGAGTAAATTTTGGAACACGGCCAACTACGTCGCATTCACTTGCGGCCATAGCTGCGTGCGCGTCTGTTGAGCGCGAGCTGATAGCAAGCTTGCCGGTCATTTTGTAAAGTGCATGCAAACACTCCCTCGGCCAGAAGCGCCGGCTAGCACGCGCTCCTGGCTTTGGGACGAGCATTTCTCGATCGTGCGCTCGTTCTGCCGAAGAACGCTTCAAAGCAGCCACCTCGAGCTCTCGTGCTTATGGCATTGGCTGCGTTCTCTGCTTAGGAATGAACGGAGTATGAACAGCGCCCTCAAAATTGGCGCCCAGTGCCAGCGTCCAGCGCCCAGCGGAGGGATTTGCGGCCCTTCGCACAGCAGTAAGGCACTTTCACTCATGCATTTGACGCTCCACGTGAACGTCTAACTTCATCGTATGCTATAGCAAAAGACACTCGACATGAACATCTGTTTCATTATCTGCTACACAAACCACTGAAGCAGTCAATGGAGCAGACGATGTTGCAGACGATGTAGCAGACGATGTAGCAGACGATGTAGCAGACGATGTTGCTCATCCGGGCTAGCTAGGGGGCGCTGAGGGGATCTACTAGTGATGACGTTTAGAGGAGGAAACGCGCAGGCCTTGTGTTCTAGGTGGTATTGCTACACTACGATGAAACTCGAGATGAGAAATTAAAACAAAACGGTCAAGGCAAACGCAGCTGGGGGTTTATTCACCACAAAGCGTGAGTGGATACATATTAAAAGGTTAAAATGCGCGAATAAACAGGACGAAAAAGGACCACGGACAGGCGCCAACTTCCAACTGATTTATTGAAATACCAATCATCGTCAAACTCCATCTCAATCACCTAAACACATGCAACTGATAAAAAATTCTTATCGCTCATTACATACATGCTTCAAAAAACGCAATTGCTTTGGTTAACAGACAAAGAGATGGCATGCTTAGGCATCTGTCAGCCGCTTTGTGTATACAGGTACTCAAATACAAATACACAAAAATCCGTATACACAAAGCGGCTGACAGATGCGTACGCATGCCATCCCTTTATCTGTTAACCAAAGAAATTGCGTTTCTTGAAGTATGTATGTAATGAGCGATAAGAATTTTTTATCAGTTGCTTGTGTTTAGGCGATTGGGATCGAGTTTGACGTTGATTCATATTTCAATAAATCAGTTGGAAGGTGGCGCCAGTCCAAGTCCTACGTGTGCCTTTTTTCGTCTTGTTTGTTCGCGCCTTTTAATTTTTTAATAGAAATGAACCAACTAGCCCCAACCAAAGTTTTATTGTGGATATACATTCCGGCAAAAGGTAAAAAGAAAAAAACACGTCCCAAAGCTCAGAGCGTTTTCAGGCGGTAGTCCGGCTGGTTAATCCTCTCTTAGGTTCACCACACCATGCCCAAAAAGGAAACATCCCCAACAGTACAAGAGCTATTCCTACTTTTGACTGAACCCCCGTAATTTTCTTACTTCTTACTACAATCCGCGCTTAACATCAAACCGGATGTCAGGGTAATGAAGAGAAATAAATAAACTTAATATAAACTATACCAACGAGTATGTCTCCCGTAAAGCGGGACGTACACATAAATAACACGGTTCAATATGTTTGGTAAGGCACTTTCGCCACGCAAATGACTCATTAGACAGATTGAGGGACATGTAATTGTAATTGGTAATTTATTTGCACAAGAAGTATGATGTATACACCGACACGCGGGCTTGACGTCACGGAGCTGCGGCGGCGCTGCGATCGCGCCGGAGCCGGGGGGTGTGGGCAAAAGCGCGCACGTTTCGCATGGGCGTCATAGCATTTCAGCATTGCGCGAAGCTGTGTTGCCGTTGATTTCACCGAAATGTACAAGAAAAGCAGCGGAGTGAGTTTCCACAAGTTCCCGGCAGACTCTGAAGGGCATAGAAGGTAGATAATATCCGTGGATCGAAAAGAATGGTCGCCTCGCGCGAACGGCCGTTTGTGCGGCAAACACTTTCTTGGAGGCAAGTGCGGCTTCCATTTCAATCTCCGTCCCGAGGCTTGCTTATGTGCAGGGAAACCGTTGTCTGATCGAGACCACCCGGATTTTGTTCCCATGGTGCTCGCGCACAACGCACCGGCCAAGCGCTCGTCGGAAGCTCGCTACGCCCGTGCTACCGAGCAGAAAGGGATCGGCGACAGAACGGCAGTGTTGTAGGCGTTACCAAAAAACACAGTGTAGCAAACCAGCACAAGGCGCTGGATGACATCACTGTTTTAATAAACGCCTACTTCTCTCTCTCTGTTACCAAAAAAAAAAGTAACGGAATACGTTACTCGTTACTTGCAAATAAAAGGTACGCGTTCTGAGCTCCGTTATCTAAAAAAAAAAAAGGGAACGCGTTACCGCTACCGATAAAAAGTAAGGCACGTTACTTCTGCGTTACTTTTTTAAATTATGATTTAACACATTTTACGGTTTTGACGATACACGTCATATATCAAGCAGAAACTTAACATAATTATTTAATTTCTTTTTACGGTTTCACCTAAATAATTACGAAAAAAAAACGCATAGAAAAACATGGCTTGACGCCTAAAACACGGAAACAATTGAAGTGTAATTTCTTTAAGACTTGGGAAGTAGTAATGACTAACGTAACTGCGTTACTTGAAATAGTAACATAAGTACGTTACCCGTTACTGTGTCAAAAACGTAACGAGTAGGTTACTACGTTTCTGAAAAAAGTAACGCATTTCTGGTAACGCCGTTACTTGTAACTTAATTGTTACCGCCAAGACTGCAGAATAGACAAACTTTACTGGTTGTAATGCCTTGTGGTCATGAGGGTATGAAAAATATAATACCTTGACTTGAAGACGCTCTGTGTATTTAATCAATTAATGAATACACACACTTCCGCAGACCCCCAGTCTGCTGATCCCGCCGGCAGTGCGGAAACCGACTCGATGTAATCGTAGGCCTCGAGAGACTTGTACGCCTGCACCGTGTCGGCCGTGAACTGGCTTGGCGAAGAAACTAAATAAACGAAGACATGAGCCGCCGACTTCCGTGGCAGCAACTTTACGTCGGAAGTCCAGCAGCTAGGCCTTGTTTACGGCGTACGGATCCTCGTAGGCAACGCCGTCCAAGCACAGTTTGTTTCGATACCGCTACCGTTCAGGCTCGGGCAACGAGCTCAAATAGTCGGGCATAGCATACGACATACGTTATGAGGAAACACGACACACAAATAAAGATACAAGCGTCCCTACAACGTCAACAACGAGCGCACGCCATAGAACTTAATGGCGAAAACACGGAGAGCCGAGCTGCTTTTGCCCACATAGCTACCGCGCATGCGCGGCCTTCCGGCCGTGTTGGTAAACAGAGCCGCTCCGCGTGTCGGTCTACATGTATATGCGACGACGTGCGAGGCTAGACAGAAGGGTAACAACCCTTACGCTTCTGCGCCTGCTAGCCGGTCGCCGCACACACCGTGGATGAGGGGAAAGGAAAAGGGGAAAAACAATTTGGGTAAGTATAAATAGTCAAAACAACAACAGTGGTCAGTGGTTATGGTGCCGCAGCTCATGAGGTGTCCGACGCCACTTGATGGGAGAAGAGCCTGCACATTTCTCGGGACTCATCGTTTGATGCCGGTAGAGGGTTGCGAGCGTTTAGTGGGATAGTTAGAAAGTCTCTGATGGCGGCGGGGATGAAATATTCGCTATGGCGAGTGGTACGGCCGCGGAGCGGCTCGGGCTGACCTGTCCTTTTGCTGACACGCACCACTGACGCGAGGTGGGACCCCGCAAGCGACCTGTCGAGCAGCCGACAGACCGCACGTACACGTGGTGTCCGCCTCCTCTGTCCGAGGGGTCGCCACTCGAGTGCCCCAAGGCGTGCGTTGTAGGAGACGTTCGCTGCACCGGATGACCGGCTCCAGATGGTTCGGGTCGCCCGACGCTGGACGCTCTCGAGCCGTTCACGAAGGCGCTGCTGAGCGTCGAAGGGGAACGGAAGGACAAGTCCATGACCGCGCTCCATACCGACTAATCTGGTTATTGTTAGCGGTCGCGAAGGATGCGAAAAACGCTTTTCCAACTTTTTCTTGTTTAGCAGCTTTCCTCCTCAACTCGTAAATGGCGCATTCTTTCAAAGACTTCAAGAAGACGGAAAGGGGGAAGTCCCCTCTTGCTCGTAATCTCGTTTCTACGGACACAGCCATTGTCCCCCTAGAAGATTAGCCCGTGGCTCGAAATTCAGACAAAAGTTGCTTTCCCCACCTCGTTCAACCCGAAGCTGACAGTGCTGTTGAAGCTACTTGCCCGTTGGACCAGCCACACTTGTGTCACGCGATCACGCTCTCTCGCGCATACCCACGCGCAGAGAATGAGGTCAGGTGATGAAAGGGAGGCGGCTGATTGGTCCGGCAAGCGCGTAGCTTCTAGCACAATGTCAGCTTAGGGGTGAAGGGATTAAGTGAGGTCCGGTGCCGTGTGACCTGCGTTTGGGCCCGGCGATGTATCACTGTGAAAAGGCAGAGAGCTTACGAAGGGAAGGAGGTACGAAATAGTCCCCTATATTTTCAAATTTTCGTACCGAAAATCAGGCTTTTGACTTTCTACCTTTGTTCTTTATTTTGGCCCACTGAACGATGTGCTATTAGTAAAATCCCAATATATATTGATTTATTCTAGCCCAAGATTTGTTTCATGGAGCCTTTGACGAAAAAGCACTAACCGCTCCCTGAAAATGTAAAAAAAAAATTATATATATATAGACCTTTTCTGCAAGTGCGCCGCCATCTTGAATTGACATCACTTCAAGTATGGGCGAAAACATTGTTTTGCCGTCGCCACGCCAATAGAAGGCATTTAGGATATAAGCGTAACCGTCACCCATTCTCGTTTTGCCTCCCCTTTATTTTTTTACTATTTGCAGGTTGAAACGTTGGATTATTTTTTCGTCGCCCATACCGGATACGCCTATTAGGTGGCTGGAGACGAGAGTACACAGAAAAAGTCTATATATTCTGGTAGCAAAACGGGAATTCTGTGCGATTTTGCGCAACGGTGAAATAATTTCCACTTGGAAAGGGATACAATTTATGGACAGCGATAAAGGATTCGCTCGGCTTATGGAAAGCATGCAAGAAAATTTTAACTTATGCTTAGCGCCCACTCAGAGCTCGTCAAAATAGCTGTCTGTCATTCGTAGGCAATGCACTAAAACAAACTTGTATTTATTGTATCTGAGGTGTACATAGCAATCAAATGAGCGATTATAATGTCAGCTGGCTACAGTTTGAAGTCCAATTACAAAAGCCTCCAAAGTGTTTCAAAGTTAAATAGTGTGCTTCCGTGCTTGTCTGGTTCCTCATGTAAATAAAAAATAAAAAAAACCTTCTGCTGCAACATCTTTTTTTTTAGTGCTGCTTTTAAAACGGTCTTCCGGATGAGATAGATAACACTAGGGTAAGAACATTGAGGCACTCTAGATAACACCGTTTCACTTATACTTCGTCTCACCCTAGCATGGACTAACCGCGAAGGCTGTGCTAGCGCGAGCGGCCAACGTTGACAGCCTTGACCAGAGCACCTGCTGCACGACCGCTCGTGCAGCCGCCGCGGCTTGATTCAAAGCGACTAGCTCGCGCTTTTAGCACGCGCGGCTAACAATAGTCCATACTAAGGTGAGACGAGGTATAGAACATAAACAGGGACGTAACAAAAAATGTAAGGTTCCGTCACTGGGCTGCGTTCCGGAGTTGTTTATGCCCGTGCCCCATTAGAGCGACAGACAGAAGCAAAAGACAGCGACAAGCCTCGAACCCACGCAGCATGCTCGCGATGGTACCTATGGCAGGCGTTTAGTCGCTCGGTGCTGGTGAAGTAAGCACGAGCGATTGCAAGCCTGCCAAAGCAACCCTCGCGTGCATTATGCTCGTGTTTCAGTATAGCATCCTTTATTCTACAAAGCCTCTCGAATAGCGAAAGACTCCGGTTTGAGGCTTGTCGTTGTGGTTTGCTTCTGTCTGTCGCTCTAGTGGGACACGAGGATTACAAGATTAGGTGTGCTTCCAACATGTTCATGTGCTATGACCGCTTCACGAAACAAAAACGGGAATGTTAAAATTAGACCCTTAGTTCCGAACTTGCAGGTTGAGGTAATTTACATTGCCCTCTTTGGGAAAAAAAAAAAAAAAAAAAGAAAAGCTTCAGCTTTTCGCGAGGCTTTTTTTTTTTTTTTTTTTCGATGTGCTTTTGCTTTTATTGATTTCCAGATTTAGAGGGGCCATGCAATTAAATAAAAATTTGGTTTAAGGCTAGTTGGTTCAAATCAATTAAAATATTAGAAGTTGTGAATAAGGTGGTTTTACGAGATTCCTTTTAGTTGCGGACAAGTTGAGATCGCTCAGACCGGCCGATGCTTTAAGGGGTACTCCATCGTTTTTTCATTGTCTCCGATTTGCTTGAAATTTTGCTAAACTACCCAACAAACATTGCTAAAATAGTATCCCAAATATTGGGTCAAAATATTGTTTTTTCGCGAAGTTATTGAATTTACAGTTTTGGTCTTCACCATGTTTTTCAAACTGAAAGTCTCTGCTGGCAACAACAACAAAGTGACGTCAGTGGAAGGCAGGGGTTAGCTTTTTGGACTACAGAAGTTGTTCCCAACGTATTTGAAGCAGTTTCTTGGTGTCAAATGAGTGCTTTGGAAGCTCGCTCCCGTATCCGCGCTCCAGCACGGAACAAATGATTGGCGTATTCTATTTTTAGACTACTTGCTCGACTGGCAAGCCTGCCTGCCACTGACGTCACGGCACTGAAAAGTGCGCGAATATTTGAATATTGGTTTTTGCACCATTTTCATTTGCCGATTTCACAATACCTATTATGAATTTCGCGATGCTAAATAGAATACCGGAAAGGGTAAAGGCCGGGGAGTCCGAAAATATAGTTAGTTGAGGTAGCTCAAAAAATCGGTGGAGTACCCCTTAATAAGAGAGCGCGGGAACACAAGCTAGTCGGACGCACTGATTCGGGTGACCATCTTGCGGAGCACTGCGAACGATTCGGGTGTGGAAATTTGTTAGAGCACACAAGGTTTATTAAGAGAGGGAAGAAGAAGACGGAAAAGAGATAAATCGAAGCTTTCGGTATGCACAAAGCGGCTGACAAATGCGTAAGCAGCCATTCCTTTATCTGCTATAAACAAAGAAATTGTGTTTCTTGAGGGCTGCGTGTGATGAGCGATAGGAATCTTTATCTCTTGCATGTGTTTAGGCGATGGGGATCGACATTTGACAATGTTTCGTGTTTTATTAAATCAGATGGAAGTTGACGCTTGCCCGCGTCGTACGTGGTTCTTTTTTCGTCCTGTTCTGTTCGCGCCTTTTATAATTTTATTCGACATGAAGTGAATTATGGGCTGGGACAGATGATTTTACCATTAGGGGTTTACTATTCGCATATCGTTTAGTGGGCCAAAATAAAGAGGGTAGAAAGTCAAAAGCCAGCTTTTCGGTTACGAACATTTGGAGATATAGGGGACTAGTTTGTACCTCATTTCCCTTGAAAGCTCTCCGCCTTTTCACTGTGATAGATCGGCTGTACTCAGAGCATGTCAGTGTTACCCAAACCATGTTAACGGTACCCACAGCACGTCAGCCGACCTGAACTCACGCGTTGCACACGAGAACTGCTTCACTCGGATGTATGCGCTCGTCAACAAATATTTGGATTCGCGTTCGTGGTCAATGAGTGCCCTGACAGAACTTATAATCACTTGCGAATGACAAGTTATACGTTGTGTTCAAAAAGCACGATGAAAGCTTCGAGTCATCGCACCGGTGCAAAAGCATGTCACGACCACGTGATTTCTCAATCCGCGTTTGAGTTGAGGATTAAAGATAAGGAGGAATGAAAAATAATTTCATCACTCCTTTAAGCGTAATACAATATGAATATAAATGCAAAGGGGGGGGAGGGGTGTATTACGTGAGTGGGATGCTCTGCTAATCTATGAGGATGTCACTTTCAGCTGAGTCATTGGATGGTTATTTTTTGTCTCAGCGGCATGGTAGCATGATAGTGCTCATAACGGCGCGGAGGGTGCTATCGCACCACTACCCGAATGAGAGAACCACAAGCAACAGTTAAAGTACGTGAATAATAGGCAGTTTCATGATACTCCTAAAACATATGGTTTCTGAATAATTCTTTTTAAAATAAATGCCATTAAAACGGCGGTCGTCGCACAGAGCTTCGCATCGGAGCGCTGCTGGAGGGGCCGGAGAACTCCGGAACAACGCGGCGGTGGCGCCCTCTAGTTGCATCCACAGAAAGAGTAACATCTTTGGCGGGCATCGGGACTCTGGTTACCATGAACTTTAAGAAAACTAGTTCTTTGCATGAAAACAAACGGAAATAAACTTTTTTTGTGGGAACGTTTATTGGAGATTGGTACAAAATAGCAGACACGGGATGGTTCTTGAAAAAATAGTTTACAAGGGTTCGCGGCATAATTACTATTGTTTTTATACAACTACGACTCACCGGAAATTTGAGGTAGCGCGTCCGCAGCTGGGTACGTGCTGACTTCTGTGTGTATTCACAGTACCTCTGCATGGAGACGGCGCTGGCTACCCTGACGTCCTTTTACCTGGTCTGTTTCGGCTACGATATAGCCGATGAAAGCCAAAATAGAAGAGTAATAGTTGAGACTAATGAATGCGACACTGAGACAGTTCAAAAGCTGTGCAGTTTCCTCAGTGGCCGCGGCGGGAGAAATAGCGGCGTTGCGATCGCCGATAGTTGCCATCGCCGACAGTTGGGTTCCATTGTACGGATCGGTGGAACTTCTTTGGGGAATGTTCCATGCAGTATACTGAGCTTTAGTAACGTTGGCTGTACTACTGTTCCGCTATAAGGTGCCCGCAATAGTTGCCAAAAGGCTGTCCAACTGTTTTCGAATTGTTGCGAGATAAGTGAGGAACACCCGCAAAACTATGCCACGCAGCTGTGGTGTGACAGACTCTAGCAACAAAATCAAGATATTGTTGCCCGATCATGGGGAAGCACTGTCGCGAGGAGCGCTGCGTGGTCATGCAGTGCAAATGTTGAGAAGATGCATGCGGCAACAGTTGGCAAAAACTGATGTACAGCTGCAGTCCCGTTGTGGCACGCAACGTCTGCCGAATAGGCTTGAGCAACAGTCAACCAACAATTGTGTCCAGTGTTTCCGCAACAATTCCTCCACACATCTATCCCAACCTAGCGCGAAACTGTTGTGTCGTACGGTTGGAACACTTTTGAAAAGGAATGTTTGGGGATTGCATTCTGGCAGTGTAAACGCAAACTGTTTTTGAACCTGCCACGGGAACAGTTTAGCAACATCAGGACAGCACACATTTTACTGGGTAAAAGCAATGCTTCGGTAACTGTTGCAAGCATGAAACAATCAACGGTTGACCGACACAGTTGCCGCAGTGCTTTAGCAGCGGACACTTCTGCAGTGGTATGACTGTTGCTACAACATTGTTGCGCGATTGCAGTAAAACTGTTTTCTGTTGCGAAACTTTGTTGCGCCGACTGTCTCCACAACATAAATTGTTACCTGGGCAATATTTGGAGTACCAAGAACAAGCTGCACTATCATTATACTTAATGGAAGTGTAGCCACATAATCCTAGTATAGTATAATTAAAAAATTATTTTATTCATGAACAGGAACTTTTAGTTAAGTAAATCATCCCTGCAGTTTATTAAGCACAAATTTTAGTTTAAACTAGACAAATGTAATCCAGAAACACTCAAACCTCGGAATTAATAAGGAAATAACTTTATTTGTGCTTACTGTAGACTTATTTTTCGCGGGCTCCATATTTCGCAATTAAGGTCGAAGCTGAAGTTTTGAAATAATTCGTGGGTTCTAATTTTCGTGATGCAGTGGGATCTCGATATAGATTCCAATGTGTTTACATTTTACCGGAATTGTTCGCGGGACCTACTTTTTCCGCAATTGTAGGCGATTCGCAAAAACGATTCAACAGCAACCTCAACCATGAGATTCGTCAGCCACCTCAACCATGGGGTTGCTGTCACATGCCTTGCTTCGACGCTCTTATTCGGTCGGGAAGGCCGCAGCCTCCACAGCTCATCAAGTTATCGTGAAACAGAGTATAGTTGCTGCACTCGGAGTAAGGGTAAAGGATCGCAACCTCAACATGCCCAGCACCTGGAAGAAGGTATAGGACATACACTTTGAGGTTAACAAGCCACACGCCAGATAAGGTGCTTCGTCTGTGTTGAATGGTTCCAGAAATCTACCGATGCCCTTGCACCAGCAGAGTTGAATCGTTCATTATAAAAAGCAAACATCCAAAACTGCAAGACGTTCGGCAAAAATAGGTTACAGCGTCTGCAGGGATCTGTGCTTTTGGTTTGGGACTTCAGAGAGATGAGCTCAATTCTCTGGAAATTAGAAACTACCGTAGAATACCGCGCATCCGCCCATTCCACATTAAGCGCCCATATCCAAATTTCTAAGATAAGAAAAAATGTGCACGGTACATTTATATGTAAAATTGATGATCGGGCAAGCGCCCATCCCCCATTTTTTCGCGATTATCTCTAAATTTTGAGTGGGCACTTGCCCGGTATATTATGGTACGTATAATCTGAAAGAATTTCTGTTCTGCATTTCAAGGTTGTCTCGTTAAAATAAAAAAATAAATACCAGAAAAAGTACTAACCTGATATGCACCCATGAAGTCTTGTTTTGGTTGCAGTGACCGGCCCTGGTTAGCAATGACTTCATGTCACCAGGATTGAAACGATGGTTAAGTAACGTCCACCCTTATGCACTTTTTGGTACAACTGGAAGAGACAAAACATCTTGTTAAAAATTACCAATCCTTTTCACGTGCGAATTTTGCAATTCATGCTTCCTGAGTGATTTCCCACAATAGTGTTAAATTAGGACAATGAGAGCAAAGTTGTTTCAATAAAGGGCCCCTGAAACGAAAAACAAAACGTCTTTTTTTTTTTTTTTTTTTAAACAGCCTGGTTGGGACACGCGTCACATAATTAATTTTACGTGAAAAAAAAAACAAAAATTGCTCAGAGCAATAGTGAAGGCGCGAGACGCGATTTAGTCGGTAGTCACCTCCTCTCCACTTGTTTCCTCAGGGCATTTCGAGCGAGTGGAGGAGAAGGGGATCAGCTTCGCCTTCATGTTGAGGTGGCGAGAGCGAATGACCATTCCGTGACGTCATAGACTTTGCGCGCAGAATTTGAAATAAATCTCTCGCTGTCAATATTGTCCGCAAAAGTCAAATTTGGGGGTTTTTACGTGCCAAACCCTACCAAAAAAAACGGTTTAAAAATAAACCGGAATGAATCCGGAATTTTAATCCGTCATATGGGCCCCTAAGCAAACCGGATTTCTAGAAACCGGAAATGAACCGGAAATGCCCAGTCCGGAAACCCAACCGTAATTGGTCGAAGCGGAAGCTGAACCGTATCTGGCTAATCCGTAGAGCTTCACCGGAGTGAGTCTAACCGTATATTAAACCGTATCAGGCAACACCTGAATATAATAGAAGTAGTTTAATAGAGTGACACACCTACTGTTTCACTTTCCGATGTACTGCAGCTGATGCTACAAGCCATCCCTTACAAAAATATCATATCTAGACTTATAGTAAAGATACAGATATGGATATATAAGGAATTGGGCAGATATGACCACATATGCATAATCATGCCGTATATGGATAGATATAGCCATATCTGCCCAATTCCTTATATACCATATATAGACTGCTTTATATTATCCCCTGTTTGAGCCTGGCAAATAGGGTACCCACCTCATACAAAGCAATTTTCATGTGATGCTCCTTCTAGCATCACATTAAAATTATTGCCATGGGGCAGGTACCATACTTTCAGGGCCAGACATGGGATCATATAATGCATTTCTATGAATATCCACAAAATATACATTTTACTGCTATCCCACACTGCCAAACGTGTGTTTACGTAGATACATCGGCAGAATAGGCCACTGACCAATCTTTAGTGGCCTGGCTCGAAATTTGTAATTCCGACAAATATGTATGCTACAAAAATCAAATGCAGGCGATCGCTAGTTAGCAAACATTGTAACATATCATTCGACGTCTGAAAGTCACAGCCCTTTGGCGGGATTGGTTGTCGAGGGAGCAGACAGATATGGTTTGCAAAAAAAAGTTTTATACATAAAAGCGCCAAAATTCCAGACAAGCACTTCCGCCGTTCAAGAAAAAATAATAGTAATATCACACGAACAACCATTAAAATAAACTAAAAATGTAATAGCACAAAGACTCCTATTAAAATAAAACAAAAGGAAGGCGACAATTAAGCTGTAAACAATACGAAAGTTCCAAAGTCGTTGATCCTTACTCACAGGGTAAAGTTCTGATTCAACTCTCCGGTCGAGCACAGCAGTTTTGACATGGGCTTGCTTGCTAGCCTCGTCTTTGAAGTCCTTCCTTGCACCGTGCAATGTTCAAAGTCCCCCAGTCGCTCCTCGCTGGCCTTGTTTTTCCGTTCAGTCCCGAAATCATCCCTTGTGACCAACACGTCGCACACACACGCACAGACACCATTGTTCGCCGGAAGCAATACAAGATGAAAAGTTCATTACTGCTCCTTGAACACGACGAGGTCACCACCGTTTCCCGGACTGGAAAATGACGAGGGCATCATATTTTTAACTAAAACTTAAGAAAAGAAAAAATAAATAAATAATGAACACATAAGTAACAGAAACCCGGACTTAATCATAAGAAAAAGTGAAATAACGAACACACAAATAAAAAAGAGTAAAAACACAAAGGACTTACACAGAAAGCCACATTTGTTCAATTAAAAATGACGTTTAAGCCTGATAAAAAAATATTCCTGCTGCGCTAACCATAACCAATATGGTTTGTAAACTATGCGACTTTGAGCAATGCAGGGATATTTGTGATCATAATCAAATGTCATTACGAACTCAAAACGTGTGGCTGCCTGCCTAGGTCCTTCATATTACTATTTTTCTAAATTCTGTGCTCATTATTGTGGCTGCTCGGGACCAGGCGGAACTTGGACAGCTTTGTACCCATAGAGAGAAGCACTAGCTTCTCTACATAATCCCACCCCTTCTCCTTGGAGATATCCTCCGTGTATGCTGTAATTGGAAGAAAAAAAACAATAATCAGCAGATATACACATTATTAGCTACATTGTTTTGTAATAATTTTTCTTAATAGGCCCCTGGCCTAGGAAAACACAAGACCTTTTTTTGGGCGATGTAAAGTTTTCACACAAACAATTTGGCCCGAATTTTGCAAAACATACCCTGTAAAAGCTTAAAGTGCACCATTACGATTTCGGCATACTTTACATCACCATTGTGCTTCCTATGTGCATGACATTTAAAAGCCAAATCCGCAAACACTTCACAATAATTGATGCGTATTAAGGAGTGTGCTTTATGTGGGGCCTTTAAGTGCAAAGCATCCAAAGTGCGCGTCCGTCTGCATTTGCACAGTATACAGAAGAGGGGAGAATGCGGGCGGACTGCTGTTTTCACTCCTTGCAGCATATAGCTCAAGGATTCTCTAATTTTGCTTATACAGGGCATTTCACCGGACAGAACGCACAAACACAAGCTTGGAGATCGCACACGCAGTCTAAAAAAGCGATTACATCGCGTTTTTTTTTTCCCCATAAAACGTTGTGTAATTATAATTATAACATCAATGGGAGTACAAAAGATTGCATTAAAGTTCCCAATTGGGTCTGTTTTATACCGCACAGCCACTGTCTATACACAAGTCAACTAGCTCTACACATACCGCTCAGCACACCACTGCTAGGCTGAATCAGATAAGTCTCACACTTGCCGAGCTTGAAGTACAGTCGTGATCTATACAAAAGTGAACAAGCAATCGTCGACTGCTCAGTACTGGGAGCATCATCCAGCAGCTGACTTGCTCTCCTTTTCAAATGCCTTGCGAACCAAGTGTGGCAAGTCGTCGGATAAGGAGAGAACGTCACCACACACGGAACTGAGCCGTTGATACTCGCCTGTTTACCTTCATATGGATCAAGTCTCTGTCTGGCCGAAGTAGCCAGTGTGTGTGCAGCACAAGCGGCTGTATTGAAATCTCAAAAGGATGAAAGTTCAGAACAGGCTTGCTAAGGTTTCACATTGCAAGTATGCCCATGCAAATTTCACTTTCTAGAACATAAAAATGCATTTCAAATTGTCACCCAAGACAAGCTGCTCTTACACAGCTGTATATATAAGGCAGCTTACCCATCAACAACTTTTGCACACCGCCATGGACTGAGCCTCGGCCTGGTCGATGCTAGCTTCTGTTCGGCGAGGGCTACACTGAGTAGAAAGGTGAAAAATGTGCCGTAGATTATGTGAAACAAACAAAGAAAAGCAATCCTAGCATGCACAATTCACTAGAGGCACTAACAAATAAAAATCAGAGGTTGGGTCAATTATTTTAACGCAATATACTTCAAACGCACTCATGGCACATGAGTGCTGGCAAAATATTCGCTGCCTTCAATCTAGATAAGCTTGTAAATGTACATGTCAAATACCAAATAACTTAAAGGCTGAAATATATTTCGATGGAACTACAAAAACCGAAGACTAGCTCTGCAAATATGGTGCTGTCTAGTACACCATAGATGTGTAGAATCGGACTACAGCGTCCCCCTTACAAAGACTGAAGCAAAACAAGTATAGAGTCTGCAGTGTCACTACAACAGAAACGATGGTATTGTGATCTCGTGGAGATAAATGTTCGGAACAAGTGTGACAGGCTTTGGCATGACAAATATGCCAATGGCATTATTCATTTTTGTATATTCTATGGTTACAGTGCAGGGAAACAATCACACAACAGATATTCAGAAAGACAAGCACATGCGCTAAACTTATAGCTCTTGTGTATTCGACTACTTCATTCTTCTCTTCAACGTCTGGATCGACTTTCCAGAACGTGATAAGCAGAAGAAATAGCGCAAAATACAAGGAAAAAAGCGAAAGACAAGACAAAAGAAGAAAGAAAACCTTTACACATCATCATTCTCTCTACCGCTATTGTTTAGATAGAAATTGAAGCTCTTTGGTCGACAACGCTATAGGAGGACTACTTACACACTTGTCCTTCAGATGCTCTATTCCTTGCGCTTTCATTATTTCTCTTGTCAATTGGTCTCAAATCATATCTATTATGGAACAATTTTCAAAATGTGCTATGCAACCACAATCTTGACAGCAGACTCCCAAATGCTCAGCGATGACTCGGTGGTTATTTTAAAAATGTTCCCTTAAACGATCATTCAAACACCCGCCAGTCTGGCCTACATGCTCCTTACCACACTACTTATGTAGACCAGACTGGCAGGTGTTTAAATAATTTAAAGGAGCATTTTTATAACACCCACCGAGTCGCCGCTGTACATTTAGGAACCCACTGTCCGGAGTGTGGTTGTGTAGCACATTTTGAAAATTGTTCCGTAATAGTTAAGAGTCGAGACCCATTGCCAAGAGAAATAATAGAAGCGCAAAGAATAGAGCATCTGAAGAACAAGTGTGTAAGTAGTCCTCCTATTGTGTTGTCGACCAAAAAGCTCCAATTTCTATCTTAAGGATCGTAGTGAGGGAGAGGGATGACTTCTAAGATCTTCCTATTTTTGTTTTTCCTCAGTTTCTTTTTTTTCTGTTCTTTGCTTCTTTCCTTGTATTTTGTGCTATTCTCCTTATCACACTCTGAAAAGTCAATCTAGACGTTGACGAGAAGAACGAAGTAGTCGAATACACGAGAGTTGTAAGTTCAGCGCGTGTGCTTGTCTTCCTGGGTATCTGGTGTGCGAATGTTTTTCTGCGCTGTCACCATAGAATATGGTTCATCAACTCGCCCAAGCATCCATTCTATCATTTCTGCAACATTAAAATGACTCTGAAAGTGCGAGCACCTACAGGGTGTATTCAAGCAAGTCTTGCAAGTGTTGAGTTGCAGGTACAGTGCCCTGGTTGTGTCCATGTGCAATATATGACCAAATACCACAAGGACTAACACTGCAAACTTCTCCGAAAACCAATGGGCGCGGCGGCGAGCGGTAAAAGTGGTGGTGTTCACAACTCTCGCCGTTTGTTTGTGTTTGTGTGTTGCTACTAACAAGCGCACCAATGGGAAGGCTTCAGCCATTGGGAACACTAAGTAAACAAATACAAAATACAGATACAACACAGCAATACTGGATGCAATTAGTGACGCACTTCTGTTGGGGTTCTGTGGATATTTTTACAGCGTGTAGTTGGTGAGCCATTTCAAAGTTGCGATGAGTTGCTCGCTGTAGGTGAGCAATTTAGCCAGTGCAGTATGACTGCTAGCCTGGAATCTACAACCTGCACCACGCAGTAGTGATACGCATGCCAGTACGATGCTTTCTAGATCGAAATGGGCAGGGGTTCGGACTGAACCCAGGATCCCAGGGTTCTGCAGCGCAAGCTTTCGTTCCACGTGCTCCAAATGGTGTGCGCTTGCCCAGTCGGCCACCGACCCCCTACGCAAGGCAACGCAATGCACTTCTGTTGTAAACTCAGCATTCCGCTTACGAATGAAATGCGCAGTTTCCCTAAAGACTTTCATTCCACGTGAGTGGCAACAAAATTGCAAAAGGCCAGCCCATAAATGCAGTCTGTGTCAAAAACAATCCTAGCAGCAATAAGTTGCTATTATATTGCTAACCTTGCCACGAACAGCCTTGGCAGTCTTTCATGACACCAGGACTTCAGCAGGGGAGACTGTCATTTTGTGTCGTCTCAGGTCACTCACATCAGGATGACGAAAGTGAATGCCAGCATCTAATTGGGAAAGGCTGCAGTAAGTACAAAGATGAAAACACAGATTAGAATATACGATAAAAATATCGTGGACTAACTTGAAAAAGTGCACAAAAAGACAAGGACAAAAATATAGAAACACGTAGGACGCAGACTGGTGTACATTCGCAACTCGATTGATTGTACACAACAGAAAATAAGAGGATGAGAGAAATCAGAAAGGCTTTACTCGGAGAATGTGAGCTTCAGGAACCGGGATGTGAGGCGAAGATGTCAGGTATATTGTTTTACAGACACTCTAGAACTAGCAACAGCCTTTCCATGTAGTAGTGGTGAGTTCATCCTGATTGAACATCTTGAAAAATAGTACCCAAAAAACAAGGAATAAAGGCTAGGAATACATACACTACATACGAGTGCGGACTCTCAACACACATACATTAGAAAAGAAAAAAAAAGAATGCATTAGGAGCTTTAACAAAAGTTCGAACAGGTCCAAGTGGGCCGTGCTAATTCACCGATATGCATAATACTGTAAAAACAATTTCCTCGGCAGCTCAGGTAACCGACGGTTGTGCGGACACCATTGGTTGCCCCATACTACGAACAAGAAAGTCCTAAAATAATTCTTCTATGTTTTTATAGTATCTGCTAATTATTGACGTTTTTCCTAAGGATGACATACACGAGTAGTGTAAACAGTGCATAGGTATGTGACAATCCATCGTAGATTTTAGAGATAGATTGAGCTCTCGTTATGTACTAGCCATCTATCTGTTACCTTCACAAACGTAAAAATTACGTTTTTTTTTTTTTTTTTAGTCGGCTCTTGCTAACAGGTAAATCAGCGCGTTCCACTTGGGCCTGTGCTCGAGCCCTTCCGCATTTATATTTCTCTCTTCTCTGATTTATGCGAGTTCAGTTTGCGCTTGCATGAAGTCTATGTGTTACTTTCCCTGTCTCCTTGATTTTTTGCGAACTATTTTTCAAGATGTTCCATTAGTACCAGCTCACCACCTTACTACAATCATGCAAAAACTAAAAACAATTACAACTTGCACCATTCGCTAAAGGCAATACCAAACGAAAAAACGGGGATTTGGTGAAGTAGGTCTAACACTATATACTTACACTGAAAAAAATATAGATACCAAAAAATGGCGAGACACTACCTTAATTCAGGACATGCTTGTAAATTTCCCTAGAAGCTTGTAATTAATACTTGATAGCCTCTAAAAAACAGCAGTAGGAAAAGAATAAATGCTTCACCATTTAAATCAGCCTGAGTGTTTCTGGAGCTGTGAAAATCGTTGCACGTACGTTGGATCATACAAAACACGTGTACAGCAAATGATATTTAGAGCTCGACATTTCGCGAGGAATAAGTGCCGGCGTCAAAAATTATTTCGCGGGCACAAAGTTTTGCGATCGGAAGTGGTATGCTATGCATTAATAACCATGGGGTGAATTCATTGCGGCACCAATTTTTGGCAATTCTTTTCTGATTACGAATCGCGGAAATGAAATCGTTTAGAGACGGCTGGGCGGTGGAAGCTCGATCAATCAATCGCTGCTTTTTGTCGGGTCCAGCTCTCCGCATGCAATGGCGTCGGCGATGGAGGGGCACCGCACCGCGCGCTTCCAGACATTCTAGTTTACCAGTAAACAATACGACAGAGGGAGGCCTTTAGGAAAGGCAATCCTCCCCCATCCGCTTTGACCCCAACCCCCGCACCCCCCGTCTCCCAAAGAGTTCCGCCGCTACTGATGAACCTTGAGCGAGTACAGTCTCTGCATCGGGGAAAAAAGAAGAAAACAGCCTCGCATAACACCATTCACGCACAATTAATAATACTGGTAAAAGCAAGCGATCTACAGACAATAACAAGCTTTCTGAACGCAGGAAATAAGCTAGCCCTAACGAACAAAGAAACAAACTTACTTCGATTCCCGTGCCGTGATCTTGGCTGTTGAGCCGATTTGACGAAGTTCCACTTCTCACAGTCGCTTCCGTCTTTTTCGGACACGTTTGAAACTAAGGCAAACTCCACGCATCACGACTAATCGGGAAATTTAACCGTTATCCGGTCGTGAACGCAGGCATTCAAACGCACACGGCCGATACGGCCGGCAAACCGTGCGAAACATAGGCTGTTGATTCGATGAGATTGTTTTCGTATCTTCAAAACGTGTCAAATAAAAGGATAAGCAAACCGCATTATAAAACTCATAAAAGACACAGCAATAATAAATTATTGCGGACGTCATTATTGCCATAATATTATGAATAAGTCCTGAACACGTAGAAAATATTAAATACGAAACTAAGTACAACGGTTCAAAACAAATTCAGCAGACATGTATCCTTCCAGAAAATACACCGGAATAGCCGGGGACTTTAGCTTAGTTTGCTAACGCGCGCGCTATGTTGCAGAGCGTGCGGACGTTAGTTCGAATCCCGGAAAACACTCTTTTTATATGTTTTTTTTTTTTTGTATTAGTTTTTATTATTTTAAATATTTTTTTACCTTTTGTATAAGTTTTGATTACTTTAAATATTTTTTTTTTCCTCGCCTGCTTGTGTTAGTTTTTATTATTTCTAATATTTTTTTTTTCGCCTTTTTGTATTAGTTTTTATTATTTAAAACATTGTTTCTCACCTTCTTGTATTAGTTTTTATATTTTTAAATATTTTTTTTTTCTCACCTTTATCTATTAGTTTTTATATTTTTAAATTTTTTTTCTCACCTTTCTGTATTAGATTTTATTATTTTAAATATTTTCTACATTTTTGCAGTCGTCGGCACCGTTCTTTAGGGTAATAATCACGGAGAAGGTGAAAACAAAAAGTGCGAGCCTAAGTTTGAATTGTTGCAAAGCACAAACCGTGGCCCTCTTGTTTTGCCGGGATAATTCATAACCGTAGGCAAACAGTACAAGTCCTTTCAAAGAAGAAAGAAATGTAATAATAATGAGCATATTGCGAGCAAAATGGGAAAATGTGTAAGTGGTAAAACTGCCACAGCAATGCAGCTGAAGTTTGTCTGAAAGCGGCCATCTTCACCCATTGTCGAATCAAAAATACCGTCATTTTAAGGCAGTAATTTAGCTGAGCTCATAGCGCGCTACGTATTAAGCACATCTCTTAATATTCTGACTTCGGGAAAGTAGTATTTAATTTGTTCTCGTAGATCTGTGCTATCCCCCGCGAGCCGCCAGGTTTTATTTATACAGGTTGCGCTCCGCAGTTTTACTTTTTTATTAGGCCTAGACACGTTTTTATTCCTGAGATTCAAGTGCAGCACGGATAATTAAACTCGTTCAACGTTGTAACAATTATTTTTCGTAGCGTCAAGGGGTCACATTCACAAACCCGGCAGTGTGAACATCCACAATGCAGTGGTGTTTCTCGCTTTTTTTGCGTTAAAAAAAGAAGTTTTTATATTCGCGTTCCTCTGGAACGGTATGTCGTATAACATAATTTATCAAAGCGACAGATATCGTTTGGCTATGGGAACGTTCGAAATATTTCTGTTAGATAATCGTAACTACCACAGAAAGCAGTTGATTCCTGTCTGAAATAGCATATTTTCGCACTCAATTTCGTAGCGTCATAAGCTATAAACACATCTCTTACTTTTCTAGTCTCTGGAAAGTAATGTTTACTATTGTTTTTGTAACTCAAAGCGCGTGCTCAATCATGCCACTTTTTTTTTTTTTCTTAATTTTTAGGCTCCGTTATACCGTTTTTATTTTTTATCAGGGGCAAACACCTGCGTACACCACCGGACCTTAAGTATAGTACATCAAATTAAACTAGCTTCCTGAAAAAAGTGATGTTCGGCGTTGTAAAATTTATTTTTCGTGGGGTAGGCGGTCACATTCTCAAATCCTCTGCAGCTAATTTTCTTCACCGTATTGTTTTTTCTTGCGTTTTCGCGATAAAACACGTCAGCCTTGCCATGCTGGGATAAAATACCCTAGCGTCGGCAGTCATTTTGGAAGGATTGATCAACGCAAACATTTCCACTCGCTATCCATGAATTGCCACAGTTTGTCAGAATCTCAATGACTTGACTTCATAGTGAAAAAGGGGAAAAAAATAAAACGATGCTGGGCAGTAAACGGATCTTCCATGACGGGGCTCGCCAGCTTGAACACCAAAGCACCGATGCCGGCCAGTCACTGAACTTCCATGTAAATACTGGCCATCAAAGGATATATTAGCTTTCACTTCACAAAATAATTTTAATTTTTGTGATTGTTTTCTGTTCAGATAAATTCTGGATCACGGTTAATATGAAACATACACTTAACGCCAATGTCAAACCTGTCACATTCTTTTTTCTTTCTGTGTTGTCTTAAAACCGTCACTAGCGACGTTTCAGACTAAATGAATACCATGTTTTCTTTTCCGCCAGCTCTGCATGACAGTCAATTTACTTCGTTTCTTCATACTGGCTACTGCATGTCAGGAACATTGGTGGTTTTGATAGAACCGAATTGGATGGACATATGAGAATTCTAACTTATTAGTTATTACACTGAAGGCGACACGTACTGACACATGTAGCGATGTAGGAGTGTGATAGATTTAGAAATATACTTTTTTTATTATAAGCACGACTAATGATTCCAACCGAGTATCCTTAATCCTAAAGTTAGATTGAACGAAAATTGTATTAACAGATGCACCACTCGCTGAAAGTAACTCTGTCAAATTGCCACAATATTTCAAGATCCGTCCTCCAAGTCATACATGAGAAAAAAAATTTTTTTCGGCTAATATTGGTTAAAACCAGTTACCGGTAAATACTTTACGGTTAGGCTTACGGTTACGTGTTTTTTTTTGTTTTTTTTAATTTCAAATAACAATTTTCTTTCTGTTACGGTTACTGAAAATTTTCGTTCCTAAATGGTTTTCGGTTTCGGTTACGGTTTAAATCCCTGCTTTGCGTACCTATATTGATAAAAGCCCCTGAAATTGCCTGCATGTGCACCATAATAGAATGTTCAGCATGCAGGCATAAACAAGGAGACCGCAGGAAAGCTGTCAAAGATACTGAAATTACACTTTC